GAGAGAGAGAGAGGGGGAGAGAGAGAGAGAGAGAGAGAGAGAGAGTCCTGGTCCTCCTCTTCTCAGAGAAACACTCATCCTCGTTGATTAGGACCCCACCTTCAGGACCTTAGTAACCTTATCACCACCTTAAAGACGCAATCTCCAATGGTTACATTGAGGGTCAGGATGGTGTACGAATTTAGGGAACACTACTCTGTCTGTACGAGTTGCACAGCTCGATAGAGGGGCCTCAGGCCTGAGCATGGGGCTCCTGACTCCTGCCCAGTTCTCAGCTCAACCCCCGTCAGACCTGGACATGCCAAGGAAACCCAAGACAAGAGCGGCAGAATGTCCCTCCACCTGGGCTGACCATGGGCATCCTCCATTGTTGTTTACTGCCTGGTAGGAAGGAGCCATCAAAGGGGAAGAAATCAGCACAAGGCCCTTAGATATTGGCAACGTGGCCACAGGGTCTCTACCTGGTCTGCAGGGTCTGCCTCTCCACCTGCACTGTGCTCTGAGTGGCCAAGGTCTTAGGTGCAAGCAAGAGAAAATATAAGTAGGCAGAAAAGGGCTTTGTTGATGATGGGCAGCCTAGGGAAATGCCAGCAGGGCTGGGTTTCAGCTCAGACATCCGCCGGAAGCAGGGCCCGCAGGAGGCAAATCCCAGACACGACCACTGCTTCTGGGTGCTGGATTTGGTTGCTGCCACCATTCAAATGGGCCTTTGTGGTCCCTGCTTCTGAACAGTCTCGCTTCTGATTTAGCGTCTGCAGTGGGTGCCTCTGACTGGTCTGACTTAGATTTGTGCAGGTCTCCTGGCACTTCCGGAAATAGGGATCATCCCTATTTCTCCCCCTTTATTACCCCCCCCTCCGCCCCGTACCAGGGATTGAACTCAGGACCTTGCACTTATGAGGCAGGCACAGTGCCGCTGAGCTAAATCCCCAGCCCCGTTATTTCCTTTATACACTGGAGGAAACAGAGACTTAAAGATGTTAGGTGATGGACTCAGCAATGGCAAATTCTGGTCTGCCTGTGTCCAAAGCCCAATGTCCCCAAAACCACAGCGGAGCCTCAGCCCCTGCTGGGGAGAGGCCTTGTTATGCCTGAGAGCCAGATGCCCCCAAAGCTTTCAGAGGGTGACTGGATTACCGACAGGAGGCAGGGTCTGGCCGGAGGGGAGTCCCTGTGGGTGTGGCCCAGAAGGGTCTGTCTCCCTCCCTGGCTCCTCCCTTGATCCCTCTCTCTGCTTCCCGTCCCCCACGCCGTGAGCAGCTCTCCTCAGCCGGGCCCCGAGCCAGGCCACCTGCCAGGGAGCCAGCCGACTGTGGACTGAAACCTCCACAAACTGTGAGGCAAGGTAAAGGTCTGCCCCTTTAAGCTCTGGGTGTCAGGTATTTTGTCTCAGTGATGAAGACAGTGAGTAAGACACCTTCCAAAGTGTTCTCCAAAGGGCTCATTTTGGTTGCTTCTCCCAGCACGGCACAAGCATCCCCTTCCCATTCCATCCTTCTCGGCACCAAAGGCAATGCATTATTTAACGAAAGTCTTGGCTACTTTGATTGACTTAAATTGGTGCCAGACTATCGGTGAGGTGGCGCATGCCTGTCATCCCAGCACTTGGGAGGCTGAGCCAGGAGAATCTCTGTGATTTTGAGAGCAGCCTGGGCTATGTAGTGGGTTCAAGGGGAGCATGTACTACATACATAGTGAGACTCTGTCTCAAAGAAAAAAGAAAGAGAGAGAAAGAGGTGTCTCACTGTTTGGTCTGCCTCCCTAGCCCCTGAACTGGAATGTGACCCTGTGTTTTATTATCTGGTCACCTCTCTTTTTGTGAAAATTCCTGTTTGCATCTTTTGCCCATTTGCCAATTGAGGCTTAGTGGGGTCGTCCTAGGTGTTCTCAGCAGCTCTTTTTACCCACAGTGAAGAAGTCAGACTCTTTGTCCTTCGCTCCTTTCCCAAGGAGTGTTTTCACCACATTTTTATTTGCAGTTTCACTTTGCTCACTTTCCTGTGACGTGCATGGCTTTACATTTTAGGGTCCACATCTAGCAAATACCCCCTCGGGTTCCCCCCGCGACACCAGGTGCTACTGAGTGCTTGGGTGACTCCTCTACTTCCTGCCTGTCTCCTGCTTGGGGTCGGGGCACACAGAGGGTCTTTTCATCTAGAAAGAGGGTCGGGTCATAAACAACTGCTGGGCCTGGCTGCTCACCGTGCCCTTGGCAACGAAAGACAAAGGTGGAGATTGTTTGCTCATCACCACCAGGGATTCTGGTTCCTGGTGGCTGCTGGGGGCGCTCGCGTGCAGGAAGGAAGGGCTCTCTGAAAGTCAGCAAATCTAGGGGCGCCAAAGGGTGACGCCCACCTGGAACCCCTGCTTGCTGGCCCTCCCCACTCAGACCTTCTCGGCCCTCTGCCCCCCACTGCTGAGGGGCTGATCCTGCTGAGAGGCCCAGAACAAGGCCCTTGCTTCAAACCCTGCCCAGCTGTGTGAATGTGAACGAGTGCCTGGGTCTTTTTAAATTTTTGATCATTTGAGACAGGGTCTCACCGTGCAATCCAGGCTGGTCTCGAATCACTAAGTAGCCCAGGGTGGCACTGAATTTGCTGTGACCCTCCTGTCTCAGCCTCCCGAGTGCTGGGATCACAGGTGTGCGCCCCCACGACCAGCTTGAGTCTCTTGATCTTTATGAGGCTGTTTGTCAGCTGTGGGTGAGGATAACATGTGTCCCGTGCCATCCACATGAGGATGGGTACTTGTGTATAATGTGCTTACTGACACCTACCACCCAGAAGTAAATACACAGTACTGCTCAGCCATAAAAAGAAATAAAATATTAACATCTCACCAAAACGAAGGGGCCTCAGAATAATTTCACTGCCTCTGAGAAGCCAGACCTGGCAGGCTTTGCACGGTAAGATCCTACTGAATAAACTTCCAGAAAAGGGAAGAAACCCTGGCAAAGTGATCCTGGTTGCTGGGCAGGGTCAGGGATGGGGCGTGACTGTGAGGCAGGAGGGCTTTCCGGGTGGCGGAGGTGCTCATGCCTTGGTAGTGGCGATGGAGGCTTGTACGTGTCTGTGTCTGACGTGAAACTCAGCCCACTTTATACTTGGGGCAAATGGATCTGTTGGGAGAAAAAGCATCAGAAAAACAAAACCGAATCTTAGCCTCTCTTTCGAGACATGCTTCTGGCTCCAGCACCTTCTGCACGGAATCACGTGGGATCGCGGTGAGTCTTATGTTGTCCTCCTCTTGTGCCCCACTAGCCACACTGGTCACCCCAGGGTGTGGCCCCTCCCCCTCTGTGGCACGCTAGCACAACACGCACCTCTGTGGCACTAGGGCCACTGTCCTAGACCCAGCCTCACCTGCACCGAGCGTCTGCATCCCAGGTGGAGGGCGGGGGACACTACCCACTGTCACAAGCCCCAGGTTCCCTTCTCTACCTGGCATGAGCTCTTCCAGAGCTGCACCTGTTTCCCCAAGAAAGCCTTTCCTGGACTCCCCGGGCTGGTAGGACAAGACCTGGAGGGCAGAGGGAGGGAGAAGAGGAAACAGGAGAACACAGGAGATGAACAGCAGTGAGTCACCCTGCCAAGGGCCGGCCGAGCCTGCAAGCCCAGCACTCAGGAGGCTGAGGCAGGAGGATGGCTGAGAGAGAGTAAGGGGCCAGCCTGGGCTCCACAGTGAGACCCTGTCTCTCCCACCCTCCCATCCATCCTGCCATGAATGTCAGGTGTGCTCCAGAAAACTGAAGTCATCCCCAGGAGCAGCAAGGGGTGAGGGATCCTGGGGAGGTGGAGTTGAGGGGGTGGCAGGGTGAGAAGGAGCACATGCCACAAGTGCTGGGGGGCTGCCACAGCCTCATGGTCCTCGAGTGTGGGAGGTGTGCGGGTGGGCAGCGGATAGGACAGGCCAGGAGGTGCAGATGCCACTGTTCTCTGCCTGTTTCCTCCTCTGTAAGAAGAAGACGACAGTGGCCCCCATCGGGAAGCATGTGGTGTGTGGCCCGGCGGGAGAGGGGCCCAGGGCTGGGTAGGAGTGTAGCAGCTGACCAGGGGCCACCAGGGAGTACCTGCACCGGAGGCTGCCCACTTAGCTGCATAACCAACAGGCAGGGAGGGGAATGCGCACAAGATTGAAAAATTACATTAAAAAAAGACAACGAGCAGACAACAGTGGGTGTTTCTCTCCTCCCTCCCTCCCTCTCTCCTCTCCGGCAGACACTGTGTCCTCCTGTCAGTTTGTGGTTTACCTCCCCAGAGGGATTTGCACCCGAGGTTGCCTCACGCTGCAGGCAAACGGTTTCCACTCCAGCTCCGCAAACACCACTTGTGCCATGCTGTCTGAGGGGCGTTGTGCTCCAGGTGCCCTGGAGGCTCTGGCTTGGCAGAGGCCTCAGCCCCTGCTCTTGGGGTGCCAAAGGGCTCTCTGTCTACTAGGTGCCTGGGCTGCTCTCTGCCGCCAGGAGCACAGAGGGGCTGCCAGCACCACAGTCCTAACAAGACGGCTCAGTGTGGCCAGCCTGGGCCTGACACGGCACAGCTCGTCCGGGAACATTTCTCCCTCTCCGTGCATTTTCTTTTTCTTATTTTTTTTTGGTACCGGGGATTGAACTCCGGTTCTTGCACTTTCGAGACAGGCAGCAGAACCACTGAGCTAAATCCCCGGCCCTCTCCGTGCATTTTCTAAGACCATCGACATATGTGGCTTTCTCTTGCTTATGTGTTTCTGGCCCATGCCAGGTCTGGAGCTGGGCAGGCTGAGGTTTCATGGGCATGTTCTTGAGTCTGGGGAGCAAAGTGATTGAGCTGGGTTCCTCAATGCTACTGTGGGCTCAGAGCCCTAAAGGGGCAAAAGGAGTTGGGAAACCTTGCGCCCTTGTTGAGCTGGATCACTAATTGTTTGGGCAAGCCCTCCAGGGTCCCCCTTTCTGCCAGTGTTGTGACCAGTGTCGCTCTGATGGTGGCCCCTTGGCCTCACCTGCGAAAGGAACAAAGAGCAGCCACAGCTGGGTGTGGTGGTGCCCACCTGTGATCCCAGCACTCTGGGAGGCTGAGGCAGGAGGGTCTCAAGTCTGAGCCCAGTCTGTCTGGGCAATGAAATTTAATGAGAACCTGTCCCAAAGGGGGGTAGTGGTGCTGGAGAGGTAGCTCAGTGTGAAGACTTGGGGTTCAGTCCTCAATACTGGAGGCAGGGGGCAGACAGCTCCTCTGCCAGCCCACAGAGACATGTATTGGACGGACACATAAATCCTGGCTTGAAGTTGCTGACGTCAGGGCCTGTTTGTTACTGCAGCATCACTTTGCCCATCCTGACTGCACACTGGGAAGATAAAAAGCCTGGTTTTAGAGGCAGTCTTCTTACTCTCTTCAACATTTGGAAAGATAAAATCTCTCCTTCCTGCTCAGTCTCATCCATTAACGTTCTCCGTATCTCGTCAGTATTTATTAGGTAGCGCCAGGAAAGGGGTCACACAGTTTCCTTAGGCTAGGAACGGAAAGAAAGCGGTGGCTTTCCTCGTATGGATCTGTGTACAATGTGGCGAGGGCCGAGAGGCGAACCTTATCCCATACACCCAGTATGCAGACTCTTTCTTATCATTGGCCACTACCACGTGCCGTCACCAGGCCGGGCCTCAGAGAGCGACAGGAGAGCGTGGCCCAAGAGGGGCCTGACCCGGTGTCACCTACAGAGGAGGGAGGAGGCAACTTCCGGTGAGAAACCAGAGGACTCCGGCAGAGGCGGTTGATCCGCGGTGGGAGCTCTGCGCCCCCTTGTGTGGGGCTGATCTGTTCTGCACTGCGGGAACCCACGGAGGCCAGGCCTGGCCAGCGTCCGTGTGACCCAACTTGACCCTCCCGACCCACAAGGAATTCAGCTTCCGCCCTTTCTCGGGTCCTGTGGCGTGTGATTGCCCTGGGAGGCCTGGGTGCAATCCTTTCCCTCCCTGCTCCCCCGACCAGGTTAGAGCAGTGCTGGCACCGCAGGCCGGGCTTCCTGGGAGCTCTGCCCTGCGAGGAGCCCCTGCCTGGGTGCAGGAGGGACGGGTGGGGTGCAGCCCTGTCCCCAACCTCCCTCAGGGACATCGCTGGAGAGACTTTTACCAAAACAGGTTCAGCTTGGCTGCCTTTGGCTGAGACTCATTTGCAAGTGGGCTACAGACTGGCTGCTAACGTCGAGCTGTAATTGATGGTCCTGTGTCCCTTGGCCAAGGCCAGGGTGCTGACTTGGTTACTTTCCCTGGCCTGCAGCCGCAGGAGGACACTGGGGGACCGGAGGTGGCAGAGGCTGCTCGGGAGGGGCGCTTGGGGCCTGGGGCTGAGAGCCGTGGCTGCCAGCAAAGCAGGGAGAGGAAGGCCCGGGCACGACGCAGTAGGAGTTTCTCAGGTGCCCGCCTGGTGAGAGGCACGGGGAGGACGCACTGTGGCTCACGGGCTCCAGGACGGGAGCAGAAAGACTCCTGCGTCTTCACAGCACTGGGCCGGGCTCAGGTCTCCCACACCCGGCTGGCCTCCACTTCCTGGACCGTCCAGCAACCTCAGAGACCGGAACCCGACCTAGGGAAGCGGTGCCACCCCGACGGCCCAGCCGGCCCGGGCTGCCCGGCACCTGCAGCCAGGGCAGCCGAGCCTACAGGGCACCGGGCCTGCGCCCTGGAGGCGGCGAGGGCGCTGCCAGCCTCTGCCCGCCTGGGCCCTGGGGTCCCCGCCTCGGTGGCTTCCAAGCAAAACCAAACCGCCCAGCTCTGACGGTCGCCAAAGGGCACCCAGGGATTTTCAGTTCGTCGAGGTCCCCAGAGCCCCCTCGCTCCCGCCGCTCCCCTGCCCAGGCCGGTGGGTGGCGGCGCCCGGGTGCTCTCCCGGGTCTTCGGTGGAAACGCTGACGCGCTCCCTTCCCGGGCGGCCCGGGTCGAAGGCTTTGGGACCTCGCGGACGCCGCAGCCGCCGGGCGCGACCAAATCCGGACCGGCGGGGGGCGACGCCGCACGGCCCCGCCCCTCGGCCGCGGCGCAGTTGGTGGAACCCGGACCGGGGTATATAGGCGCGCGCGCGTGCAGCCGCGACCGCGAGGGCCGCGCGCAGCTCCGGGCCAGCGCGGCGGCCGCTCCGCTCCGCTCTCCTCGCACCCGCCCGCCCGCCGGCGCCCGAGGACGGACCGGGCGCGCTCGGTCCCCGCCCCGCCGCCGCCCGGTCCCGCATCCCGCCCGGGGCCCCGGGGCCGCCGCAGGTCCCCGGCCGCCCCGCGCCCGCTGCGTCCGCGCGTGGGGTCCCCGCCGCTGCGCCTCGCGCGCTCCGGACCCCGGGCCCCCGCGCGGCCGGGACAAAGCCATGAAGCCGGCGCTGCTGGAGGCGATGCGGACGAGCAGGATCTGCCGGATGGCGCTGGCCACCTGCCTGGGCTCCTTCATCCTGGTCCTCTTCTATTTCCAAAGTATGTTGCACCCAGGTAGGGGGCGTTCGCCTGGTTTCCTTGGATGTTTGCTCCTCCTCGCGCGCGCTCCGCCTGCCTCGGCCTCCTCCAGCCTCGCCTCTCCGCCCCCGCCTAGTCCCGGCCCGGGGCTCGGGGTCCCCGGCCGGGACGGGGACGGGGCGCGCCGGGCTGCGCAGGGACCCGAGCGGCCGCGGTGCTGTTTTCTCTCCTCCTCTTTCCTTTGTATGCCTCGCCCGTGGAGGTGGCTGGGAGCGCAGGGGAGCGGGTACCTCCGTCCCCGTGGGAAGCGCCGTCCCCGAGGACACCGGGCCGAGCGCCCACGTGTCGCAGAGCAGGTGGGGAGCGGCCCGGCCTTCGGCAGCGCCCCCGGTCCGCCCCGCAGTGACCTTGCGGCTGGTTTCCCGGGACCCGGCTGGTCACCCCCCCCCCCGACCCCGGGCTGGGACGCGGAGCTCTCCGGTTGCGCCCGGGCCCCGGCAGGGTGTGAGGAAAGTTTAGCCCGGGCCCGGGCCGACCGGCGGGTCGCATCCCCGCTTCCTGGGCTCCGAGCACCCAAGCCCCCCACCCCCCACCCGCCACGTGGGAGCGATCCCCCCTTGCCTCGATCCCGGGTGGCGTAGGCAGAGCCCTACATCTGAGATGGGGCGAGGACACGGATGAGGGACAGAAGGAAAGTTTGGGATCTGAGAGCGCGGGGAGCCCTGGAGCGCCCCGCTGGCAGGTAGGACTGGCCCAGAAGCAGCTCGGGTCCCGGGGTCCCCCTCCTTCCCGTCCCTCGCAGCAGACCTCCCCCGAGCCTCGCTGCCAGCGAAACCCCTTTCTGACGCCCCCGGGTTCCCTTTCTTGCAGCAATAATTTGCTTTTCTAATTGCAAGGAGGAGGGAGGCGGAAACATTTCCTTCCAGGGATACGGGTTGGTGTTTTCCATTTTGCCGCCCCTTCTTTGCCTGTGTACCTTACCCTTACAGCAGGCAGCTCCGAAGCCCTCCAGCCTGTCAGGACAGATGGCAGAAATAACGCTGCTCTCCGCATCAGCAGGCGGGGCAGCCGGCCTGGATTCCTTGACAGCCAGGGAACACAGAACCCTCTGCCCCGCGGGGCCTGCAGCCTGAGCGGCGCCCTCGCTGCCAGCCGTCAGTGTGACCACATGGAACCTCCAGCCCCCAGCCAGCCCGTGAAAGATGGCGTTTTATTCACAGCTGGGTATTTTTAGTTTCATGTCAGCAAACTAGAGCGGTGCTGTCTCCTCACCCAGACCTGTGGTTGTGAAACTTCTAAGGGAATTTAAAAATGGAGCCGGGTGCCTGCCCACAGCCAATGCTGGTTGCAGCAGGCAGGGCCAGACAGAGGACATCTCAGTGCCAGGTCCCAGAGTGGCTGGAGAGCAGGCCAGACTCTGGGGATGGGTGTGTGCTGTGTAATGGGACTCAGGCCACAGAAACAAAGAGCCTGGTGAGTTGCTCTGACTCGGGAGATGTGTCCAGACCTATTCAGGTTTGCCTGGGATGGGGCCTGCCAGGTAACTGCAGAAATGAAGATCAGGAGTGAATAGCAGCCCACGGTAGGAACGCTTTAGCTTCGTTGTACCTGTGAAGAGTCCAGAGAAATTCCCCTTTTGTGGATCCTGGGCCAGAGTTAGGAAGTAACTTTCTAGTCACATGTATTGTGAAGAAAACTATTGGCACTTTGCTAGAATTTCCAGCTCTCGTTAGAACATTGACTCGCAAGTGGCTTTCTTGCCGGCTTTTCAGTCTAGCCATGGCTCAGATCTTCCTCCTTCCTCCCACCTTCCCTTTCTTGTCCTCTTTCCTCCCAAGAAATCGTATTTGTTCAGTATTCAGACCTCTAAATGATGATTTTGTGATTTTTTTCCCCCCCAGTCCATAGCAAATCCTACTTCCAAATCATTCTATTGAATGTGGAATTGCAGATAGTCTAATTGAAAGGTCTTCCTTATTTGAAATCACACATAGGTCCACAAAAACTCTGCGTTAATAGTTTATTATTACATGGGGCATGAATATGCTTTGAAATCCATATTAAGCATTCTCTTTTTGGTTCATTTTGTTACGCTTTGGACAGGTGATGTTAAATAATTTTTCCTACTGTTAAAGAGTTCCCTCCTTTGGACCTTCCCCTCCCCTCCCTTCCTCTTTCTTTCTTTCTTTCTTTCTTTCCCTCTCTCTCTCTCTCTTTCTTTCTTTCTGATTTGGCATTTAACACGGGGTCTTTGCACTGAGTTACATCCTCAACCTTTTTTTATTTTCTGCTTTGAGAAAGGGTCTTGCTAAGTCCCTCAGCTGCCCAGACTGGGCTTAAACTTGCCACCTTCCTGCCTCAGCCTCCTGGAGTGCTGGAATTCAGGCGTGCACCATCGTATGTGAATTTCTTTATAAGTTATTCACAGCAGTATTTCTGTGACCCTTAGGGTAAAGGTAGCTGAACCTTTAGCCTGGCCCTGCAGTCTGTCCAGGTCAACCTGGGAAAGGCAGAAGGGACCCCAGCATGGCACAGATTGTGTTGCTAAAAATTTGGAGCCCTCTGGCCAGTTACAGATCCCTGTTTGTGGGATAGAAAATAGCACTGCAAAGGAAATGGACCTCAGGCCTCAGTGGCGTCTGGGGCTGGTGAGGAGGGAGAGACAGTGGGAGCTGACAGCTGGCAGGGGCTGGCCCTCCCGCTCTGATTCTAATCGGGGGCCCTTGTCTTCAGCCTTTTCTCATCCTTAACCTTGGGTCATTTGTGAAGGTGAATAATTGGCCACCCATTACCCCACGGAGAGTTTAGCAACCGCCAGGCTCGTCAGTTAGGCGGTTTTCTTTAGAAGCCTTTGACCCTCTGAGTTAATAGTCTTCAGTAAGAGTTCATTTTAGGGCGGGGACCCAGCTTTAGGCTCCCCTGGAGTCCAGATGTTTACACAGTTCCGGGCGGCACATAGTAGGTGCTGAATGCACAAGATTGGTAAAGCCAGAGAAGCAGAGCCCTCTCCAGGTTTCAGAGAGGCGGCTGCAAGGCTTGAGAAGGCTGCCTGGCTGGAACCTCTGGCTCTGGTGTCGGGGATGCTCCCCTGCCTTCCTGGACGCTGAGGTCCTCTGAGACCGGCCCAGACCATTTTCACTGTGGCCCAGATGTGACGCACCCCAGGTGTCCTGGCCTGGTTTAGCTGTCGACCTACAGAAATCTTCTAGCCAGACACACCTGCAGGTGTGAGCGACTCCTACGGGGTGAGGTCCTGGCTACATACCTGTGGCTTCCTTGCACCTTTGAGTCCCTTGGGGAAGGCTTGCTGTGGAAATTCTTCCCCTTGCATTAAAATGTCTCTCGAATACCTGCAGCTTTGATGGAGCTGTCACAGGAGCTGTCATAGGCGGGGCAGAACAGAGGCCCCCAGGCTGCATCTGAGTCCAGCCTGAACACTCTGAGCCTTCCTGTGGCTTTTGTTTGAGAGCTTCTGTTTGGAGAAGCAATATCTGCGGGGGGGGGGGGGGGGACGGGACGGGACACCTCCTCCCCTCCCTCTTTTTTTTTTTTGCAACATGTTTACTTTCCCTGTCACTTAGCAGGCTTTGTATTGAAAGATTGTAGCCTGGATGTAGCCTCCCTGCCTACCCCTTGCAGTTCCACTCAGTCAGGCAGAATATTATGTATGACTTTAAACTCATTGCAAAGGGTCAGAGAGGAGAGAAGCAGTCCTGTGGCTCTCTGGCTCAGGGCACTAGCACCTTTGTTCTCTGTATTACATAGTAGTGTATTCACAGCCTGGCTGGCCTTGGTCACAGCAGTGCCACAAGTGGAAAATCCCACACCTGGCCTGGCATGATGGGTCATAGTCCAGACAGATGAGTGGTAAAGCCCTTGGGTGTGAGGGCTCCCGAGAACTCCCAGGGACTGCAAAACAAAAGCAAAACAGAAACCGAGGCCAGATGCATTTAAAATACTGTGCAGAATCCCTTTTGGGCTGTGTAAAAGGTGCATCTGAGAGCGCAAATGAATTTCCTTTTATTTATTTACTTTTTTTTTTTTGTATCGGGAATTGAACTCGGGTCCTTGCGTTTGAGGGCTCCCGAGAACTCCCAGGGACTGCAAAACAAAAGCAAAACAGAAACCGAGGCCAGATGCATTTAAAATACTGTGCAGAATCCCTTTTGGGCTGTGTAAAAGGTGCATCTGAGAGCGCAAATGAATTTCCTTTTATTTATTTACTTTTTTTTTTTGTATCGGGAATTGAACTCAGGACCTGCTCTTGCCAGGCCAGTGTGGCACCACTGAGCTAAATCCCTGGCCCTTGAATTTACTTTTTTTTTTTGCTTCCGGGGATTGAACTCGGGTCCTTGTGCTTGCGCAGCAGGCGGTGAAACCACTGAGCTAAATCCCCGGCCCCCTTGAATTTACTTTTGTACTTGGGGGTCCATCCCCAAGATGGCTCGTCATGTGTTTCCAGATATTCTAAGACCTGAAAAAATCCTAAATCTGAAATAATTCTGGTCCTAAGCACTTTCAAGAAGGGATACCTAACATATATATATATTGAAAAAACAGTTGAGCTCATGTCACACATTCTGTATCTTGTTCGATGAAATATATTTTAGCCGAATACATCATTGTGTCGACTAGGAGCTTAGAGACAGAAAACTGAAGCCCAGCCTTTTGCTTTTGTGGACCCATGTGGTCTCCGCCCCTGCCCCGCCCCTTCGCAGGGTCCAGTCCAGTATTCGTCTTTCTTCTTTGTGTTGCTGTTGCGCAAATGTAATGTTGCATTAGAGAATCTTTCTGCTTGTGCGGAATGGTCTGGAGTTACCCTAATGCTTAGGGCCCCGTTTTGGAGTTTTTGGTGACACTTACCTTGGGCAGTTCCCCTCAGAGCCACCCCACTCCCGCGGGGACCCCTCCTTTCCTTGCCTTCTGAGATAACTGGGTGTCAGAAAGGGTGGTGTTGAGATTGTGAGCCAGGGATTTGGGGTAGGGGAATCCAAGCCCCGCAGAGATGACTGCAGTTTGCAAAGTCATTTTGCTCG